TGAGCCCTAAACCCTAAACCAAAAGAGTTTGGGATTCATGATGGTGGTGGTAGGAGGGGTGGTGATCGTGGTGGTCGTTGTGGGGCTGGTATGAATGCTGGCCATGATCGTCACGATGAATTTGGTAGTTTCGGCACAGTCGGCGGAAACCAAAAGCCTGCATACTTAAACCTTGAATTTGCAATCTTACAACCCAAAACCCTTAAATCAAAACCCCTAGGTCCTAATCGGTTTAAACCGGAAATCCTAAACCCTAGGTCCTGTGCGGGTGTGTCGCCACCACCGTCAACTGAAAGTTCCCCCTCTGTGTTCCGCAACTCAGAGACTGCATCAGGAACATATAATAAGCCTTATCGGGGTTCCTCCTCCTATAATGGTTTGATAGGTATATTCCCTAATTAAGGTTCCCATTAAGGTTTAACAGGTATATTCCTTAGTTAAGGTTCCCATTATGGCCTGATAGGTATATGCCTTAAGTAAGGTTCCTATTATGGTCTAATAGGTATATTCCTTAAGTAAGGTTCCTACTATGGCTTAATAGTATTATATTTCCTTAGTTAAGGTTCCTATTATATGGTTTAATAGGTATATTCCTTAATTACCCTAAGACTCCAAGTATACAANNCTACTTTGGGGTCTAAAGTCTGAAAATACTACCTACTTTGAGCTATTTGGAGTCTTAGGGTTAAGGTAACGTTCCTATTATGGTTTTTATAGGGATCTTCGAATTTTTTAAGGGCAACTTTAGCGGATTCTGGGGCTTAGTTTAGGGGCTGAGAGGTTCAGAGCTAGGGTTTAGGGTTTGGGATATAGGGTGGGGTGGGGGAGTTCAGGGTTATGCCCTCTGAGCCCTGAAACTTTCCACAGAGGCCCCTCACAGAGAACACGGCTGTTGAGTCTAGGGTGTACTTTAAAGTCCACAATACTTAGACTAGGGACATTGGGTGACCATATATAGATATACATATATATATATATACACATCTATCTATCGATCTATCTATCTATCCATCTATCTATCTATCGATCTATCTATCTATCGATCCATCTATCTATCTATCGATCTATCTATCGATCGATCTATCTATCTATCTATCTATCTATCTATCTGTATATATGATTACACATAAGATGCACATGTATGCTTGGTTCTTGATGTAAGTGCCTCTTGATCTACCAATAGCTCTGCAGAACAGCATAAGCCCAAGTCGAAGGGGCCTTGACCAAGCCCTCGTCGTGAACCCGGATAATCTCCAGGGCCCTGGGATCCTGTAAGCATGCTCTCCGTGCTTTTTTGGGTTTAGGGTTTAGGGGTTTAGGGTTCTTAGGGGCTGAGTACCCTAGCCCAAAACAGGTTAACCTGTTCAATTATGGTAGGATTATAAAAACCCCCAAAGGTTGAAGGCTAACTACTCAGCCACTAAGTTTGTTTCAGTGTCCCTGAACCCTTGACCCTCAACTCTGAAGCCTAAACCCTCAAAACAGAACCTCAAAACCGTAATCGGTTTGGGCTATGTTTCGAGGTTCTGGGATTTATGGCTCCGGCGAGTCTGGGATGTAGGCTTAGGTTTAGGGTTTAGGGTTTAGGGTTTAGGGTTTAGGGTTTAGGGTAGTAGGCTCAAGGAAGATGTCCAAAGCCGATGCCTCTCGTATCCACCCCCTTGCCCTGCCAATCTCAACACCGAAACCCAACACCCCCAAACCCCCAAACCCTAAATCCCCAACCCTCAACCCCAATCATACTCTAAACATCTCTAAACCAAAAGCCTAAACCCAAAGCTTGCTTGGGCTTTTGAGCACTTGGAGTTTCCAAAAATTAGGGTACCTTTTTTGGGGGTCCTTATAACAAGGATCCTATTATTTAGGGTACCATATTAGGGTCCCCTATTTTCGGAAACCCCCAGATCAAGGAAGAGTACAAGGTTCAGCGGGTTCAGGGATTTGGGGGTGCGGTTTAGGGGTTTGTGGTTTAGGGATGCTCGGGTCTGGGAAGTCCTCGGCATGCAGAAGAGTATGTATATCGCACATTTTCAAGTCAAGAAGCCTGAATACATACATACAAAAATATATAAATATGTTATATATAGAAATAGAATATATATATATATACATAGATGTATATATATATATATATATATATCACAACATTTACCGCTCTTATGACATCCACATGTCTGCTACAGAAACACGAAAACTACGGGAAGCTTTGAAGGCCTCTGCGTACATGTCATTGACTTTCACGTGGATGTGTATATGTGGGTTTCCGAAAATAGGGGGCCCTAACATGGTACCCTAAATCGTGGGATCCTTATCATAAGGACCCCAAAACCCTAACTTCGGAAACTCCCATAAAAGCTGGGTATGTGAGGTTTGTGCACGTAAACACTCGCCCTGCGCGACATCCTCACACCAGCAACGAGACAAATGCTGACTGCCGTATCCCCAGAGACTCCAATGTCCCTTAATTAAGGATACCTTAAATCATACTAGGGATCCTGTTATAATTTAAGGTATATTCTTTAATTAAGGGACATTGGAGTCTCTGGGTCCAACATCAAAGCCTGACCGCAGCAGGTTGGCGCAACGACTGTGCAGTAAACGCGCCTGCGAACAAAAAACCTCGGACCATGGGGGCAAAACCGAGAACTCCTGACACAAATCTTACGCAACTCCTGCTAGTCAGAATCCTAAACCCTTAAAACCTAAACCCAAGCCTAAACCGTCGAAGCCTGATCCTCAACCTCAAAACCCAAACCCTACACCCTGAAACCCTGAAAATCCTGAAAACCCTGAAACCTGACGGCCCCGAAGAGAGCACGATGTGCCTCGGAAGGACCCACTTTCAGCCCCAATTCTCCGCCATTGCTCCTTGTCTTGGACTTTGAAGGTGTAGGGTTTACGGTTTAGGGTGTAGGGTTTAGGGCTTAGGGTGTAGGGTTTAGGCTTTAGGGGTTCCGTCAGTATGGGTAGTTCTCTAAGTAAGGGTCCCAGTATTTAAAGCCCCCAACATCGTACGGCGTCCTTACAAAAAGGACCCTGGAAGGGACGCTAATTTAGAGAACTACCCACATGGGTCTTTAGGTTCACGGAAACTACGACAAAACGATGAGAAACCCTAACCCTCAAACCTAAGCGCTATCCCTAAACCCTAAACCCTAAACCAAAGAGACCGGAGATGCTAATAGGAGTTAGCTGGTTCCCTGTTGGGGGCATTTTAAACATGATCATGGTTAATCCTTAACGGGTTAGGGTTTAGGGTTGAGGGTTTATGACAAACACGAAAAATTGTAGCCAACAAGGACGCAGTCGAGGGTTTAAGGGTTTTGAGGGTCGGAGACTCTTCATTTTCAGGTCCTGGAACAGTTGAGGGTTAAAAGGTTTCAGGGTCTAAGATCATAATCTAGGGTTCAGGAACTGAGTCTATGAACCGTGAACCCTAAACCCTAAACCCTAAACCCTAAACCCTAAACCCTAAACCGTGGAGGATTTGAGGATTTTCAAAGGTTCTTAAGGGCTTAGGGCGGAGGCCTGAGGTCGGCTGAAGGCTCTTAAAATGTAGGGGCCTGAACAATTACCAATGCTTTTTTTTT